GTGTCTGTGCCTTGTGTGGGTCATGGCTGGAGCAAGCCAGGAGAAGCCGCCTTCTAAGCTCTGTGCACCCTCGGCCAGGGCACTTGGTTGCACTTCATCATGCAGTGGGGCTTGTCTTTCAGGAGTTGGGGAACGCAGCCCTGGGGCTTGTGCTTGGAGTGACCCCAGCCCTTGTCCTCACCTTTTTCCCCACTCGATGCCTGCAGCCCCGCTGGCCCAGCAGACACCTCGGCACCCCACACATGGGAATCACTAGCGTGTGCCACTGTACTGTGCCCAGATGGAAGCGGAGCCACGTCCCTTCTGCCATCAGAGACCTCACTCGTGGTGAGGGAATGGGAAAAAAACCCCAAAGAAACACATTACAGTCTATTCCTGAATGCTGGAAAAGAGCAAGGCGCTGGTCAGGCTCTGAGATACCCTTTGGGGCAACACTTAGCGCCTGGAGCCCCCTTCCCTCACCTCCTCCTGCCCCCACAGCAGTGCCCAGCTTGATGCCAGGCAGCCCTGTCTGAAACCTCGAGGCAGGGCACGGAGATCATCCCCTCCTCGCCGCGGCGGTTTGCACCCTGCCAGGCACGGTTACGTCTGGACGGGTGCCCGTGGCTCACCGCCTCCTCCCCGCCGCCCTCCCGGGGCTCACAAGGGATGCTGGGCTGTCTGCTCCTGTTTCGTGTGCTGCCAGAGCTCGTCAACGTGCTGTTTGGTACATCAACAAATCGACGCCACGCAAACAGAGAGCTAACAGGGAATGATTTATCCAGGACACCGCGTCTGCGTGTCCAGCAAGGCGAGGTGTCCTGGAAACAAAATTCAGTATTTACTGAAGACTCATCAGAAGAGCTGGTGTTTCGTGCCACAGCTGAATCACACTTGTATCTTGCTCTTTCTGGGTGTTGCTTGTTTAATCATAGGATGCTTTCCTTTTAATTAGTCACTGCTGGTACTGATGAGAGAATTAGCAGACTCTTCTTTTAACAGAGAAGATGTGGCAGACGTGCTGTAATGGGGTGGTGGGCAGGAGGCTTTGTGCTGCAAAGAAACCCCAGGACCTGCCCCTCAGACTCTGCTTCCCTGCAAAATGCCCTTTCTGGGGGGTCCTGAAGGGATTTGTTTTCCAAATATATAATTTAGGAAGGGTGTTGCCTTCCCCTGGCTGCTGTGTTGTGGCCCTGGAGGGGAAAGCTGCTGAATTTTCCCAGCTCTTTTCCTCTGTGCCTGGCAAGGACCCGTGGAGCTGGTTGTGTGTCAGGAGTCGGTGACTCTCCTAGGTACATTACGTCTAGAGCTGGTCAATATTGGCTTGATTAGACAGTTATTGTCAGAAAATGGCAGTTTATCAAACTTGAAGCTGTTTGTGGGAGGAGAGCTGTTTCAGTGAACTGGCTTTAAAAAAAATATTTATTGAAATACTTCGTCTGAGATATTTGAAACATTCATTTGAACAGTTGAGGAACAAAAAGTTCCGTGTTCTTCTTCAGGCTGACTTTTATTTATGTTTTTTCATTTCAGTTGATTTATGATACAGAGCAAATGGATAAGGGAATAAGGACTGAGATGTAGGGGAGAGCTTTGAAAATTTTGGGCCAAGTGTTTCAGCTCACCAATTCTGAAACTCTGCATTCCCGTTTGGGATGGGATGACAATTTCAGTTCCCGTGGGAGAGAAAAGCCCTTTTCCTGCTGTGTTGCAATGATCTCTAAGGAAAGATGTCTCAGATGTGTTTGTGGTTTCTCTAGAGTAGAAGCATCTCATACACAGTCTTATTATCTATATGCACCTATGGCTGCTTGAAAATCCCGTAGCTGGAGTTCTCAGCAGTGGTTGCGTCCCTGCAGCCTTGCTGTGATCCCCTTGGGCAGGATCACGATCTCAGCCCACCTCTATTTTTATAAATAATCCCGGGCAGTGCTCGTGGTGGGGGCCCAGGCAGGTGCCCCATGGTCTGGCAGCAGCGATGCGTCCCTTGAAAAGGATGTGGAGCTGTTGCAGGAGGCTGGTGAGCTGCCCTGGGGACCCCCCCAAGCAGGAGCAAGGGCTTTGGGGCAGAGCGCTCTGCAGCCGGCTGCAAAAATCCTCCGAGTGATTCGCATCGCCCCATCTCAGCTGTTCAGGGATGTGTGGTTTCCCAAAGCAAAATAACTCCTCAATTTCAGCCAGGTCTGGTTGTGGTGTGCTTCCCCTGGCCAGGTGAAAGGGAGGTTTTCCCTTCCTCTTTCGACTCGTTTTGGCCATTAATCTTATATTTTTGGATATTAATTCTCACTGCTGGTTCAGGAGATCTCACTCTTCATTTTTATTATGGGCGCCCAATGTCTCAGATTTTAAAAACAGTTTCCTGTCAGGGAAGTGGAAAAGAGCGTGTGGAGGAAGAGTGGGGAGCAGGTGGCTTTTTTGGGGTGAAGCAGGGGGAGATGGATGGATCCAGCGCTGCTGTGGGTGCTGAGCATCACCACGCTGCACGGGCTGACCCATAGCCCTCCCACACTGCTGCCAGGGGTGTTTGGGGCTCTCCTGGGCTGAGAAGGATGTTTCACAGGCCGGGGGGATCGCGGCCCTTCCAGTGGGTGCTGGGGGTCCTGGGAGACCTGCAGCACAAGTGTTGCTCCCTCCATGGCTCCCCACATCAGCCAGCACCTCCCATCCGCACTTACACGTAGAATACGTTACTATACGTCCCAACAACGTCTCTGCCCAGAAGGTGCTCACGAAGTGCAGAGTTTCATTAATCGACGCTGTTAACACGATGTCGCTGCGGGGCTGGTGGGTTTTCCCATGTCAGCCCCCACGGGAACGGGGTGCCACGGCTGCTCACGCTTCCAGGGACTGAACCGGGTCGTGCCTGCGGGGCCCGTTGGATTCGGCAGCGCGGTCGTGGAGGGAGAGCGGAGGATGGAGATGAGCCTTCAGGGCCTGGGTTAGCGGTGCCGATGGATGAGAAGGAGAGCTGCCGGGAACACGTTTCTTTTCCAGCAGTATCACTGCGGCAACAATAACGGCACGGTCTGCCTCGGCACCGGGGCGCTCCTGAGTGAGTTGGGTTTTTTTTTTTGTGACTAATGTAGACTTTCAGCTGTTTGAAGTTGTCCTGAGGTGCAGCTTGGCATATAAGCTCTCAGCCTATTTATTACTCTGTGTCTGGCTGTTCCCATAGGCGTATGATTTTAAGCCAGGGTTGCATTTAATGTCGGAAGCGGGAGCGTGTGTATTTTAGCTGTAGATCAGCGAGGAGGTGATTCGGGCTGTATGTCCAGGGTGTGTTTGGCAATCTCTAGCCAAGGGATCTGCTCCTCAGCGAGGGTGTTTGAGATACAGCAAGTGTTCAACACCTCCTTTTTTTTTTTTTTTTTTCTACTTTTTATTTTCCATGCTGCTGTTTCCCCTTTGTTGTCTTGGGACCGTTGTTTTGTCATCACAAGCTCCTGCCAGTATCGGTGCAAGTCCCCAGGGTTTACACTACCACACTGAGATAACAGCAGACCAATTTGGGTCCTCATCTACCATCGCACTAGGTTGGAGGAACTTGAGCTGAGAGGGCTTGGCGAGCAGCGCCTGGAGATTTCAACCTTGAGACACGAAGAAGGAGAGTTAAATGCTGACATGGATTTATCTGTTTATTTGTCAGTGTATATCTGTGAAGCCTTTGATTGCTGTAGTTTCTTGAGGCTCTGAAACACAGTTGATCAAGTGTTGACCCTACCCCTGAGCCATCTCCTCTCCTGGAGAGGGTTGGGGTTGGGTTATGGGTTCATGTCTAACTCTACGGCGTGTGCTGCAGCATGGCAGCTCCTCTGTGTTGTAGGAAGTTTTTGTCCAGCCATAAAGGTGTTTTGTATAAGTGGTGGGAGCAGTCAACAGCCAGCCTGTGCGCATCTCATGCCGGCTTCTGCGCGTGGTGTAGCTGCCATGAATCTGCACGTCTGGCTGTAACCCACCATGGTATCCAGGCATCTAAAGCCGCGGGTGATTACACATAGGGATTTAGAAAAGTATCTGAGTGAATTCAGTGCCAACTACCCCTAGGAGGAATCCAGCAGCCGGTGTGCGTGAGGAGTTTAGTGACTGGTGCCAGCCCACTGCCCTGTGGGGCACCTCGGCGTTGCCAACCCGACCCTGCGGCCATCTGCCAGCAGGACGTCGGCTCCTGATTTTTAATGAAGCTTTTAAGTAGAAACATGCAATTGTGGCCGTGTGTTGGGGTTAAACGGGGAGAAGGGATCTGGTACTGCAGATTCTGCTCCTGTCTTTGCCACTGACTGATCCTGAACAGGCTACGCCACCGGTTTTTGTCTTCTGCCATATGTTTTCTAATAATGCCCGCCCACCTGCCAGGGAAAGCACAGCGCTGGGTGTCTGCTCGCATTGTTGGGAACCCTCTGTGAAATACGATAGAAAAACATGAAAGGTATTAATTTAGGTCTAAGGTTACTGGAAATCCGTTTGTTAGGGTTTTTTCGTACCTCTATTTTTAGATTGCTGCTCTGAATTGCCAGGATCGAGCCCTTCCTCAGCAGCAGTATTTGGGGCTTCCTGACAATGAGGTTTTTTGGGTCGTTTTGGTTAATAGTGCCTCAAATCTCTGCATTTGAAAATCTTAGATTAAATCTTTTGATGAGATCCTAAATAAAAAGACAGCCCCTAAAAGGGTATTTATGTGAGGAAACAATCCGACCATCCCTCCTGCGTAAGGAGAATTGGTTTGGAGGATGCGAAGGCGTTAAGGCTCCGTACACGCCACTAAAACCTCCTGTGGTCGTACTAAAGCTGCGATTAACGTGAAGTCCATGTCTGGATTTACCCGCTCGATTTACAACGGTGTATAAACCTTAAATACTCGGATAGTATTTTTCTTCTCTCTCCTGGGCTTTGAGTGAGTGTTTTCTCGTTGTACCATTACCATCGG